TTTTTTTGTGGTTCTGGGAATTGAACTCAGGCCCTTGAGCTTGCCCGGCAAGTGCTTATTCTACTGAGCCATCTCCCTGGCCCTTAATTTTTATTTACTTACTTATTTTTATTTTATGAATTTAGGACAGGGTCTCCAGGGTGTTCAGGGTCTCACTATGTAGATCGTCTTCGTAGTGATTCTCCTGTTTTCAGCCTCCCTGCTGCTGGATTACAGTCGTGCCACCGCGCCCAGTCTCAATTGCATCCCAGCCAGCCCCGGGGCGGCCCACACCACACGCTGGGGCTGGAGCCCCGGCCACTGCGTCCCATACTGTATGTTGTCTCTTCACTTTTTGGTTGTTCAGGCAGAAGCTTCTTCTTCTTTTAAAATGTTTTTTGGAGGAACAGAGGATTGAACTCAGGCCCTTGTGCTGCCAGGGAAGCACTTACTCTACTGAGCCATCTCCCAGGCCCCTGAAGCGTCTTTATTTGATGTGGTCGCTTCTGTTGATTTTTTTGTGCTGTTGAGATTCTTTCCAGAAATTCCTTGCCTATGCCTGAGTCTGTGAGAGTTTTGCCTGTTTTGTCTGCAGCAGATCGTTTCTGTTCTAACACTTAGATCTCTGGTCCGTTTTTAATGTAGTTTAGTATTGTCTTAGTTACTTTTCTCTTTGTAGCCTGTGGGTTAGCTCACTTGTTCAAGCGCCTGCTCATGCAGACGTCAGGCGTAGGGTGCCAGCAGTTCAGTCCCTGGCTCCACACGCCTTACCAGACCCACCCTTAAGGCAGCCTGAGCCAGCCCCCCACCAAACCCCCCCCCCAAATCCTTCTCATTGCTGAGACAAAACGCCTGAGGCCCAAAGTCAGGGAGAAAAAGTTTATCTGGCCCAAGTTTCCAGAGGCTTCTGTTTGCAGCCACCTGGCTCCAAGGCAGGGCAGCATGGCAGCAGAGCCTCCGAGAGGGGACAGGCCATGGCAGGGCAGGCAGGGGGTGGCAGCAGGCAGAGCTGAGGACAAGCCATCAACAGGGCTGCTCCGTCTGCCCTGTATCTCCCTGTCTGCACGTTGGGGGGGCAAGTAGCACCCACTCCCGCGGTGGGTGCCCTTAATCCTAGCCACCCGCGGTGCGTGCCCTTAATCCTAGCCAGAGCCACCAGTGGACTGATTTAGTAGCTGTACACCTTTGGCCCAGCGTCACACTCTACACCCAGCCACCTCTGAAAAGCCCTGCCTATGACTGCATGAGGCTTTGGTGTGACATCCAGACACAGCCACAGCAAATACGAGGAGACCGAGACAGGAGGAGCACCACAAGTCCGAGCTGTGTAGTGCGACCTTGTACCAAATAAATCAATGAATAAAATATATTTAAAAAATGAAAATGAAAAAACAAATATGTGGGGAGATACTCAGATCTAGATTCAGTCTTCGTCATGTGGCTGTCCCAGTTTCCCCGCACCACTTACTAAAGAGGCTCTCTTTCCTTCAGTGTATGTTTTGGGCTCCTTTGTCAAAGACTGAGCGCTTTCGTGTCTCCAGGGCTGTTTCTGCCTCCTGTCCTGTGTACTGTTATTTCCCACCGATCCACGTTTCTGGTTTTCAACAGGACTGTGCCGCTTTTATCACTGTAGTGCTGTAACGTACCTACGTCTGGGATTCTGATGCCTTCGGCTTTGCTGTCGTTACCAAGAGCTGCTTGTGCTATTTTGGGTCTCTTTTGGTTCTGTCTGAATTTTTGGGTCATTTTCTCTAGGTCTGGAATGCTGTTGGCATGTTGACTGGCGTGTTAAATCTCTATCTCAGATTTGGGAGAGTGGCGACGTTAACTGCGGCCTTCCGCCCGTCCTGGGTGCCGGGTGTTTCCACGGCCTGGTGTCCTCTGCACCAGGGCTGGGCAGGGCTGGTGCTGCATGTGGTGCCGGGGATCGAGCCATGGTCCCTGCACTTGGCCTAAGCTTGCCCCAGCAGGCGTTTTAGACTGCTGAGCTATCCTGCCGGCCCAGGGTGATATTTTTGCTGTAGAGCTCTTTCACCTTCTTGGTCAGGTCAATTCCTAAGCAATTTGTTTTTCTTCATACCACGATGAACGGTGTTGTTTTCCCAATTTCATTCTCAGTGAGTTAGTTATTAGTGTGTAGAAATGCTATTGATTTCTGTGTGTTGGTTTTGTGTCCTGCCCTGTTGCTGAATTTGGTTACTGATTCTGGGAGTCTGTTAGTGGAGATTTTGTGTCTTGTAGGTAGAAGATCGTGCCATCTGCAAAAGACGGTTTGGCCTCTTCCTTTCCTGTACATATCCCTTTTCTTTCCTTCTTTTGCCTGATTGCTCTGGCTAACGTTTCTGAGACTGTTGAACAGGCGCAGTTATGGTGTGCATCCTTGTTCTGGTCTGGGAGGGAAAGCCTTCAGTTTTCCCCATTTAATAGGATGTTGAGTTGACTTCCCTTCTTTTTCCTGAGGCGAGATGCCACTGTCTCCCAGGCTGGCCTCTGTTCACGATCCCTCTGTCTCAGCCTCTCAGGTGTTAGGTGTGCTCCACCGTACCCAGCTTCTTTCTCATTTAAAAAACTTCTGTAAAATACACACAACACAGTTTACCGTGGGAGCCATTTCTGGATGTGTAGCTCAGTGGCTGTCTGCATTCCAGCTGTAGGGCCATGCCCCATTCTCTGCAGAATACTCTGTCCTCCTGAGCTGAGAGTCCGTCCCCATTAACACCATGCCTGTCCTCTGACCCCTGACCCAGGAACTTACACCCATCTTGCTCTCTGTGGGGCTCTGACTCCTCCAGGGACCTCCCAGAAGTGGATCCAGGCCATTTCTGGCCTTTAGCCATGGTTCATGCCCCGGCACTGTGTGGCAGCCAAGCAGCGGCTGCTGTGTAGGGGGCACTTCACACAGCATGAACGTTGCTCCTCTGCAGTCCCGTCTGCCAGGCCGCCCTGTCTTGGGGCCTCTGCCAACTGTAAGGCAAAGAACCTTTTCCCGCTTAAGTTTGGGCGCCAGGTATTTGTCCCAGCAGTGAGAAACTGACTAAGACAGTGGCCAGGCTTCCCTCTGCCTCCCGGGCTCTGGGTGCGCCTGCCTCAGCCTCTCAGGGTCCACAACTGTAGGGCTGTGCCCGTTTCCTCTGACCTTCCCTTCTTATTTTTTCTTTTATTTTTATTTTAAAAAAAAATTTTGTTTATGTGTGTGTGGCCAGCTCAGCCCACCACGTGGCGGGGCTGGCTGGCATGTGGTGCTGGGGGATTGAACCGCGGTCCCTGTGCTTTGCTGAACTTGTTCTAAGTGGGTGCTTTAGACCACTGAGCCATCTCACCAGCCCCCCTCCGCCCGTTTTGTTGTGCCCGTTTTGCTGCGGTCTCGCCATGCAGGTCGGGCGGGCTGGCCTTGAGCTTGCTTTTAGCCAAGGCTGGGCTCAAGCTCAGCCGCGACCCTCCCGCTTCAGCCTCCACATGCTGGGATTGCAGGTGTGCGCCATCACGCCTGGTTCTACCCGTTTCTGGAGTTGGGTTATTTTTTGGTTGGTGTAGGGGTTTCCTGTAGGTCTGGATCGTAGTCCTTTCGGATATGTGATTTACAATTATTTTCTCTCCTACTTGTTGCCTTCTTTGATAGTAGAGCCCTTTGGTGTCCATTTTTAAAATTTTCCTGGAGTCTGGGTTATCTGGTTTCTCTTTTCCCTTTCAGCAGCAGTGCGTGCAGCAGCTGGCGACCACGCTCCTGCGGGGCACTGGGGGCGGCCTTCGCTCTCCCCACCTCCTCCACTTCTGGAGAAGCTCTAGCTCCCTGCTTCCTGTTGTCCTTTCTTCTCTTTATTTATACTTGGAGCTTCTCATACAAGAGAAACAGTGCGACGCGTGCGCTTGTGTGTCTGACTTCACCTAACACGATGGTTCCAAGGTGAATCTGGTCTCGTGCAGATGGTTCAAGTTTGCCCTCCTTTGTGGCAGAGCCGTGCTCCGCGGTGCCTCAGGGCCACGTTTTCTTTACCCATTCGTAGGGGCCTGCCCCTCAGCTCAGCTCTTTGAGTGGCTGCTCCAGCAAAGCAGTCAGGCTCAGGTGGCTGTGGTTTGATCCCAACTCAAGCCAGCCAAACCTGCCCTGAAGGCATTGGGAGAAAAAAAAAACCAACTCCTTCTTTACCCATTCGCCTGCTGATGGACAGACTGCTTCTCAGATTTAGTGACTGTGAATCACGCTGCTGTTCCCTCGTGTCGCCGTAAGGCAGTGTCTGTAACTAGAAGGGAAGTAGCTGGGGGGATGGAAATCGTAGTTGGGGTTTTTGGGGGACTGTCCACATCGATCTCCAAAGTGGCTGTACCAGTTTCCATCCCCAGCAGCAATGCCCAGGCCCTTTCCCCTGCAGCCACACCAGCGTCTGTTATCATTTGATTTCTGCATGGTGAAGTGAGAGAATCTTGCTCTTTCTAGAGTGTGATGGGATCTCAGTGTGGTTTTTTTTTTTTTTGCTCCGAATGCCTTCAAGGCATGACTGGCTGGCTTGTGTTGTGGGGATCGAACCACAGCAACTTGAGCCTGATTGCTTGGTTGAAGCAGCCACTTAAAGAACTGAGCTAAGGGGCAGGCCCCCTCAGTGTTGTTTTAACTGGCATTTCTCTAATGCCCAGCCAAGCCGAGCCTTTTTTTCATGTACTTACTGGTCTTTTTCGTGTTTCTTTTATTT